ATTTGATTGATCGAATTTCCATCAGCGAAACACTACTAAAACGCAACGAAATCAACCCATTTCTGAAGCAAATCATCATAGGCGATGAAAAATGGATGAAATACAAGAATATTGTTCGTAAAAAATCATGGAATAAGCGCGGCGAACCATCACAAACGACTTCAAAACCTGGATTGATGGCAAATAAAGTGATGCTGTGTGTATGGTGGGATTGGAAGGGAGTCGTCCATCATGAGGTGTTACCACATGGCCTAACGATTAATTCAGAGCTCTACTGTTCACAACTGGATAGATTACAGGAAACGATTAAGAAAAAACGACCAGAATTAATTAACAGAAAAGGTGTTATCTTCCATCATGACAACACCAGACCACACACATCTTTGATGACGCGCCAAAAATTGAGGGAGCTTGGTTGGGAAGTTTTGATGCATCCACCGTATAGCCCAGACCTTGCACCATCTGACTATCATTTGTTTCGATCTCTGCAGAACTCTCTTGATGGAAAAACATTGGCCGACAAAAGAGCTGCCGAAAATCACTTGAAAAAGTTTTTCGCCGATAAACCATAAAAGTTCTACACGGATGAAATTACCCGAAAAATGGCAAAAGGTTATAGATAATGATGACCAATATATACTTGATTAAAATTGATTTTCAATAAAGTAAAATTTCATTCAAAAATTGAACAAAAAACCGCGGATATTTTTTAGATGACCCAACATATTGGGTGGATCCATATATTCGTTCGGTTTTTGAAGGCTAAAATGAAACAAGTTTTTTCCATACAAAGGATGAATTTTAATCAATGATTTATTTTTCGTTTTTGTTGATGATCTCTTGCCATCTTTCCAACAATTTCATTATTCTGCTCTCATAGAAGGTCTGGGGCTTAGAGGCGAAAAACCGGTCGAGATACGTTTTCACAGCTGTCTAATCAGCGAACGATTTCCCGTTGAGGGAGTTTTGCAGGGACCGGAACAAGTGGTAGTCGGATGGCGCAAGGTCTGGTGAGTGGGGCAAAACATCCCAGCCAAGTTGCACTAATTTTTGCTGAGTGATTGCGGTGGGGTCTGGCGTTGTTATAGTGGAATATGACACCTTTGCAATTGACCAGTTCTGGACGTTTCTGTCGCAATGCTTGATTCAATTTCGTTAGCTGCGTGCAATAGATTTTCGAATCGATCGTTTTTCCCTGAGGAAGCTGCTCGTAAAACAACACACCACGATGATCCCACCATATGGATAGCAAAATCTTCTTCGAATGCAGGCCGGTCTTCGGGATGGCATTCGGCGGCTCGCCAGTGATCTCTTGCGCACTATGTTGTCGTAGATGATCCACTTTTCGTCGCCAATCACTATTCGTTTGAGAAACGGGTCGCTTTCGTGTCGCTTCAGAAGTGAATTGCAGATGGACATGCGGTTGGCCAGGTTCTCCTCGGTCAGCTTGTGCGGCCCCCAAACATCGAGGCGGGCCACGTAGCCAAGCTGTTGCAAATGCCTTTGGACGGTTCCATAACCTATTTACGTGTTTCCGCAATCTCTCGCACCTTTAGCGTCCGGTCTTGCTCAACCAGTACCTTGATATCATTCAAATCATCCTCGATGGGCCGATTGCTGCGGGGTCCATCTTGAAGACTCGTATTTCCGGAACGAAATTTGGCAAACCATTTCTGAGCGGCACGTTCTGTTAAGGCATCGTCCCTGTATACGCCGCATATCTTTCGGTGGGCCTCCGCAGCTCGCTTGCCTTTCTTGAAGTAATAAAGTAAAATATGCCGAAAATGCACCTTATTCTCCGACATGTTCACAGGCATAAACAAAACTAATGCCAATGAAACCAAATTTGACAGATAAAAAGAGCGAACTGTCACCTTTCCAAAACATATTTGGATTGCCCGATTAGGCAACCAGAACCGGAGATATTCGGAAAAAATTTGCACTACTAACAAAACTACTAACAAAACTACACCCAAATTTTTTGTTTTTCTTTAGAGTGATTTAGCCGTACTAATTACAATTCCTCAACATTTAGAAAATATCAATTCTATCAGTTTTTTTCCCATAGTAAATATAAAAAAAATTTTAACGAAGCAATTTCTTGTGTAAAAAATTTTCTATTCTTTAATAAAAATAGCCTCGACTGATTAAATTTTATAAAAGCAGTGAAAATCATAAATTTTTTAATTAACGCGTTTTTCTTTATGATTCTAGGCATTTACATTAAAATAAATATTTTTTATAGAAAGCTGATAATTTTTTACATAAGACACAAAGATCGCTTTATTTAAATTAGGAATCAATTTAATTCAATTGCAATAAAATAATAAAGCCAAATATCTAAAGCTCGCTTGTAATTAAATAATATAAATGTGACACAAGGCAATATATGAGCAATAGCTAGATTATAGTTGCTATAACATAATATTTCAAATAATATCAAATCAAATAAAACATATGTTTCGACCAGAACATTCGATCATTAATCATCAATGTTGTTACAATAAATATAAGACATCCTAAAATATTACATCCTAAAATATTATATACGCAAGTTATACTAAACAGCTATAATTATATATAATTAATTCAGTTTCAAAGAATAAAGTGATAATACGCAATTTGATGTACGAAACCTGCATAATCTCTCTATTATCGCACACTCTATTATCGTCCATAGGTGTAAGATACATTAGTACAGTGAAAGCAAGGTAGTACAATATGCTTAGAATTCCACAAAGACTAGCCTATTGCATTAGTCATCCTATTCATGTATATTCACAAGAATCTTCACAAATTATACATTAGTATGAAATCTATAAGTACATAGTACAACAATAAAGGTGTAAAAATTCTTATGAGATCTATAAATATTTTTTTGTATTAATATTGGAGTCATTTAGGCTCCAATCTATGATTACAATCTGGTCAGTAAGAAATTAGCACTTTAATTTTAACTTAAGATTATTAAGGTTAAGACTTAAGCTAAAGTCTACCCACTAGCATCCTTTTAGATTTTAATAATTTAATTACATTAATTAATTATACTTTAGTATTAATAATAATAATAATATTATAATAATAATAACTTTATTGATGTGCAAAACTATTGCAAAACAAATGATACTAATTAGTAAAACATCATCAAAAGACGAGGTATCAGCATAATTACTGCCTACAAAAACCTAGGTCCGGAACATAGCTTAGAAGAGAATAAGAACTAAAAAATGCATGGTAACAGAGAATTAAATTGAGATGACGAGTTACAAGTAAAAGTATAGCGAAGAAGAGTGAGATGAACTCAGAATTACATTCGGAGGTGAAATATGTAAAGCAATAAGCGTAATACTACTGTGGGCAAAAAGTATCGATAATTTGTTTGTTTTTCAAAAATTCTTTATTTATTCATCCACATTCGTATCATCCCCCTCAAAGTAGTCCCCCCCGGTTGCAATGCAACTGTGCCAACGCTTTTTCCAATTTTCGAAACATGCCGCATAGTCGTCTGTAGGTATGGCCCGCAGCTCACTCGTCGTTTTTTCTTTTATCTCTTCAATCGTCTCGAAACGGTGTCCACGGAGTGGCCTTTTGAGTTTTGAGAACAGCCAGAAGTCAGATGGTGCTAAGTCAGGCGAATACGGTGGTTGTGGAATGATATGAGTTGAGTTTTTGGCGAAATGGTCACGAACTACGAGTGATGTGTGCGACGGCGCATTATCGTGGTGAAGGAGCCAAGAGTTGTCGGCCCACAATTCTGGTCTTTTTCGGCGCACGGCATCACGCAAACGACGCATAACACCCAAATAGTATTGGCTGTTGACGATTTTCGAGCACCAAATCTCGGATTTTTTGGATGTGAATCACATCAGTTGATGTGGATGGCCGTCCGGCACGTGGCTCGTCTTGAACGCTCTCTCGGCCCTCTTTAAACATTCTGTGCCATGCAAAAACTCTTGCTTGTGACAAAGCGCCATCACCGTACGCCTTCTGACACATTCTCAACGTTTCGGCTGCAGAAATTCCATTCCGGACACAAAATTTTATCGCACTTTGTTGTTCCATAATTTCAGACATTTCAAAAAACGACAAATCACTTTTTACGTGCTTACAAACAGACGCTTATCTCAAACACTAATGACTATTTTGACGTGTACCTTGACGCAGCTGTCACTGACAGAATTGCCAACTTCAAAATAAATTCGGTTGTCCCTATCGGAAACCCCGGGAAATTTAAATTTGAAATTATCGATACTTTTTGCCCACAGTAGTAGATAGTAATAAGCGTAAAATATTCACAGCTCATTAATAATACAATTAAGGTAGAAGAAATAGATTTACACAAAGGTTTACGCAAAGCTTGCGAACACTTTATCGGTTTACCGCAAATGCGCCGAAAGACAGCAGTCCTAAATAAGAAAGGAAGTAGCAGAATGGATATTGAGGAGTAAAGAGTTGAAATGTTTTCTAGCAATATAAGAGAACGCAGCTTGGAACTTGGAGTACGATGCAGAGGATAAGAGAGTAATGTTTGGGAGCATGTAACACAGGTGGAGGTTATGTGAAATGAAGACAGTCGCGAAGGTAGGATGAATTGTTTGAGAGCAAGACATTAAAGACCATGCAACAGAGATGCAGAGTGAATCATTGATAGATGTTCAACCAGCCATAGAGTTGAAAGAGCAAAGTTATGTGATCAGACCTACGCACATCGTAGACAAAACGCAGACAGGAATTTTGAACGCATGGTATTCTGCAAAACAGCCGCTTGTTTAAAATAGAAATGTAGACAGTTTCGGCGTAAACAAAGAGAGGATAAGTAGTTGAATGGCAAGGAGTTTTTGAGAAATGGAAAGAATGCAGTGGATATAGTTTACGGAAACGAGTATATGCAGTCTTGTATTTTATTGTAACGTGATGATCAAAAGACCAGAATGGATCAACATGTAGACTAAGGACACGCATCGATGAAGGAAACGCGACAGGCATGGAATTAAGGTGAATATTCAGAGCAGACATACGAGACAAGAAGGATGGGAAGCCGATCATCATATAAAAAGATTTGGAAGAGTTTAGGTGAAGGCAGACCAATTAGATATAGAATTTATTGAAGGTCGCTGTTTACAAGAGATGATATAGAAAGTGCCTCATTATGTTTAAAAGAATTTACGAGAAGTATATCATCAGTATATATATATATATATATATATATAAAGACGAGATATTAATGGCAACGATGCTGCGTCCGCTATAAAAAGAATAAAAAGGAGTGGTGAGAGTATAGAGTCCTGAGGAACATCAGAGAACACTCGATGTAGAGAGGAGAACATGAGAAGAGGATTGTGAACGAACATACATTGGAAGCGGTTTGTGGATATGGATGCGCAGGAAGGATAACGCTGTGGGAGATAGGACATAAAAATGGAACTTTGCCAACAACAACTCATGATTAACCGTATCGAATTCCTTCAAAAAATCCAAAGCCACCAGAACCGACAGCAAGTTGTTATCAATATTACTTAAACTTTGGCTGGCGCTATTCTCTAGAATCGCATAGCTGGCGTCTGATACTCCAATCATAAAATCGCTAACTGCGAGTAGACTATTTAATATTTTGACTTGAAAAAAATAAAAGGATATTCTTGAAATGTTATTTTAACAAGTGCCAAAGGTTATTTTAGTAACATTTAATTTTAAGTGTAAAAAAAATAAAATGTAAAAAAAACAGAAAAATGATACTTTTTATAAAAAAATTTACATTTTGAATTTTTAATATTAAGAGCTAAAAATTTAATCTGATACTCTCAAGATATAACATATTAAGAAAAAAAACAATTCGAGAGAGTCCGTTTCAAAAAAGGTATTTATGTTGAGAAATGAAGTAACGAATTTTGATTTAAAAAGTAGTACTAATTTTTTCGCAATGTATTTATTTATTTATAATATATTAATAAATTTTACTCAACTAATGTATAAAAAATACATGAATAATGTTCGAAAAGATTAATACAATCATATAAAACACATAAAGTAATTATAGTAATTTATATGTCTGCGCAATTATTACAAAAGAAGATACGATGGTTATCGCAAAGCGGTCTTTTACAGAATAAACATGCGAAGTTAGTTTTCCTGTCATCTTTTCGCACAAAATGCATAGATGATTGCATTAGATGATGACGAAAAACAACGAAAACAAAATTCGGAAAAAATATTAAATCATTTTTTAAATCATTATTTAAATCACAGCTGGCACTGTGAGGTATCAGGCGTCCCACGACTACTTTGCTTGATTGCTGCTGCTATACTGACGAATTTAGGCTTATTCTATTTCTACTCAAGAGGGAAGAGCAACTCTCGAACTATAAACAAGTGGCACTACAAGTCCCATTTTCTAATAATAAGGAGCCTTAATTTAGAGAAATATGCTGGGGCGTCTCAGATCCCGTGGTGCCAGCCAAAGGTTAAAACAGTATTGGATAAGTGCAATAGTAGTCGTAGTGGTGCTATGCATTCGTCGAAAGCCGGATTGAAATTTGGAATAATATTGATTTTATTGAAAAAAGCGTTTAGCTGTTGAAAGCAAATGTATTCAAGGACTTTGGAGAGGAAGGGTAGAAGGAGATTGGTCGGAGAGAAGAGAATGAATCAGAGCTTCGAGTTTTGGAAAAGGAAAGACAACAAAGAGTTTTCATAATGTAGGAAACACATTCTCAGATAGACAGTGGTTAAGGATGTGCAGGAAAGGATCTATCATTGAGTCCAGATAGGGAGACAGAAACAGACGGTTGATCCATCGCACAATCAG